AACAGAAGAGAAGGCTAACTCCTCTTCAATATGTCTCTATAGGATCCTTACTCTTATAAAAGTGCAATCCTCTTCAGGCTCTCTTACAGAAGAGAAGGGCCAACTCCTCTTCAATATGTTCTGTAGGATCCTGAATTTTATAAAAAGTGGAATCCTCTTCAGGCTCTCTAACAGAAGAGAAGGACAATTCCTCTTCAATATGCTTTGTAGGATCCTGACTCTTATAAAAAATGAAATCCTCTTCAATATGCTTTGTAGGATCCTGAATTTTATAAAAAGTGGAATCCTCTTCAGGCTCTCTAACAGAAGAGAAGGACAATTCCTCTTCAATATGCTTTGTAGGATCCTGAATCTTATAAAAAGTGGAATCCTCGTCAGGCTCTCTTACAGAAGAGAAGGACAACTCCTCTTCAATATGTTCTGTAGAATCTTGGTTCTTGCAACAAGTAAAATCTTCTTCTACAGAAGAGAAAGGCAACCCTTCTATAAAATCCTGGTTCTTACAATTACTGATATCTTCTTCTAAAGGGATTGGTAACTGTTTCTCAGTCTGTTCAGGGAGTAAAGTATCTTCATAAGAAAATACATTACCATCAAGTATAAAAGATTTTAACGGTTCTTTGATATTTTTAACCAAAACTTTGTTTTCTGTCGAAATAAAACTTTCAACAATTTCAGGAATATCACCTGGTTGTGAAGACTCTTCTGTAATCACATTAGACTCGTCAGAATTATTATTTTGACTTAATTCGTTTTCTTGCATTTTGAAAAGAGTTAAAGGTTCTTCAAGTTTCTTTTTATTTTCTTTGGTGTTTTCTTCGAAAGCAATATGTTCATTGGATGTTTCAATATCATCCGTTGTAAAAATACCTAATGCTCTTTCGCTTTGTTTGGTTAGGTCATATTCTTCACATGAATTTTTAGTTTCGCTGATTTCAGAAACAGCTTCAGACCTCCCTTCTTTGATTATATGATTATTCTCACATCCAGAAGTAGCCAATATTTGTCCATTATGCTCTCTAAGTACACCATTCTTGTCGGGAATGACCCTCGCATCTACGACATTGGTATTCATAGGCCCAACATCAACATAACAGGCGACTCTGTCGTCTGTTTGAGATGAACCTAATGGTTTGTCAAACAGTTTTATATCCTCATAACCATTAGCATTTTCATCATTTGTAGAAGGTTCTTCAGACGCGAAGTTTTGAAAGTAGTTAGCATAAACTTCACAAACAGTTAATGGAATTGTAGCGTTTTCTGTCAGACAACTGATATCATGTTCCTCATTTTGTTTTGTTAATACGTCATTTTCATCAGCAGTAAAACTCTTTTTAAATAAAGAAGTAGGTTCCGATTCCTCATTTTCAGCAACAGCAGTGTTCTCATAAGAAATGTCGTTATCCTTTACTGTAGAAGGATTTAAAGAACTCACACCATCTTTTGAAATGACACCATATTCATCATCATTATAACATGTAGCGATGTCATCTGATGAATAAGTTGCTAAGATTCCTTCAACGTGTCTCATAGATGCAGTATCATCAGAAGAATTTGTATTTATATCCGCACAAAGGGAATCTAAAGGTTCTTCATGTTTTTTTGGTGCACAATATTTTGAAGAATTTGCATTTTCTTCTATTGTAAAAGGTGTAAATGATTCTCCAGTATGTAGTATAAGAACCTTATTCTCATGTGAAACTACATTCATCTCAACTTCAGAAGCTACATTCAAGTCAACCTTGGGAAATATATTCATGTTAATTCCAGAATGTGCATCTACGTCGACTTCAGGAGTTATATTTACGCCAACTAAATATGCTACATTAACGTCAACTTCTGGGTCTACATTCACGTCGATTTCAGAAGATACATCAACTTCAGGAACTAAACTCGTGTCAACTTTAGAAACTTCATTAACTTCGACTTCAGGAACTTCAGTCACGTCTACGTCAGAAGCTACGTACCCATCTGCTTCAAGAATAGTATTCAAACCAACTTCAGCAGCTACAACCATGTCTTTTTCTGGAATTTCATATACGTTTACGTCATAAACTTCATTCAGGCCGCCTTCAGGAGCTACATTCACGTCTGCTTCACGTACTATATTCACTTCGTATTCAGAACCTACGTTCAAATCTACTTTAGGAACTACGTTCAAACTGACTCCAAGGACTTCATTTACACCAACTTCAGGAATTACATTTTCGTCAAGTTTAAGAACTTTACTCACGTCTATTTCATCTTCAGTGGCTACATTCACGTCAACTTCAGGAACTACATACACGTCGACTTCAGAAGTTTTATCCACGCTAGCTTCAGGAACTTCATCTACGTCTACTTCAGAAGATACGAACCCATCGGCTTTAAGAACTTTATTCATGTCTACTTCATCTTCAATGGCTACATTCTCGTTTAATTCAGGAACTACTCTCACATCAACTTCAGAAGTTATATTCGTGTCTTCTTCATGAACTATGTTCTCGTCTAATTCAAAAGCTACATTCACTTCTTCTTCAGGAACTACATTCATGTCTAATTCTGTTACTATATTCATTTTGACTTCAGAAGCTATATTCACGTCTAATTCAGGAACTACTCTCACGTCAACTTCAGAAGTTATATTCGTGCCTTCTTCATGAACTATGTTCTCGTCTAATTCAGAAACTACATTCACTTCTTCAGGAACTACATATGTGTTTACTTCTTTTACTGTATTCATTCTGACTTCAGAAGTTATATTCGTATCTTCTTCCTGAACTATATTCATGTCTACTTCTGGTACTATATTCATTATGACTTCAGAAGCTACATTCACGTCTTTAGAAACAACATTCACGCCGACTTCAGAAGCTACATTAATTTCAGCTTCAGGAACTGCATTCACGTAAACTTCAAGAACTTCATTCATATCCAATTCAGGAACTGCATTCACGCTGACTTCAAGAACTTCATTCGCGTCCACTCCAGGTAGTATTTTCACGCCAACTTCAGAAATCACATTATCGTCAACTTCATCTACCACATTAATGCCGACTTCAGTGGCTACAGTCACGTCAACATCAGGAACTAGATACACATTGACTACAGAAGCTTTATCCACGGTAGCTTCAGTAACTTCATCTACGTCTACTTCAGAAGCTACGAACCCATCGGCTTTAAGAACTGCATTCACGCCAATACCAGGAGCTACATTCATGTCTAATTCAGGAACTACATTCACGTCAACTTCAGATGTTATATTCGTGTCTTCTTCATGAACTACGTTCTCGTCTAATTCAGAACTACATTCACTTCTTCTTCAGGAACTACATTCATGTCTACTTCTGTTACTATATTCATTCTGACTTCAGAAGCTACGTTAACTCTTTCTTCAGGCACTATATTCACATCTACTTCAGGAACAAAATTCACATCAACTTCATCTAATACATTCGTGCCGATTTCAGGAGCTATATTCACGTCTCCTTCAGGATCTTCATTCATATCCATTTCAAGAACTGCATTCACGCTGACTTCAAGAACTTTATTCGCGTCTACTTCAGGTAGTATTTTCACATCAACTTCAGAAATCACATTCTCGTCTTCTTCAAAAACTTTATTTACGTCTACTTCAGGTAGTATTTTCACATCAACTTCAGAAATCACATTCTCGTCTTCTTCAAAAACTTTATTTACGTCTACTTCAGGTAGTATTTTCACATCAACTTCAGAAATCACATTCTCGTCTTCTTCAAAAACTTTATTTACGTCTACGTCATCTACTATGTTCATGCCGACTTCAGTGGCTGCATTCACGTCAATATCAGGAATTACATACACGTCGACTTTATCCACGCTAGCTTCCGGAACTTCATTTACGTCTACTTCAGAAACTACGAACCCATCGGCTTTAAGAACTGCATTCACGCCAACGTCATTCACGTCTAAAACAGGAACTACATTCATGTGAACTTCAGCAGCTACGGTCGTGTCTAATTCAAGTACTTCATTCACCCTGACTTCACAAGCTACATTCGCGTCTTCTTTAGGAACTATATTCACATCTAACTCAAGAATTTTATTAGTGTCTACTTCATCTACTACATTCACGTCTCGTTCAGGAACTTCAATGACATCTAATTCAGGAAATCCTTTATCTCTAACTTCGAGAACTACATTCATGCCAACTTCAGGAATCACATTCTCGTATACTTCATCTTCTATATTCATGCCGTCTTCAGTGGCTACATTCACGTCTAATTCAGAAACTACATTAATTTCAACTTCAGGAACTACATTCAGGTCTGGCTCAAAAACTGTATTCATGTCAACTTCACCTAATACATTCGTGCTGATTTCAGGAGCTCCGATCACGTCTTTTTCAGAAACTTCATTCATATCCAATTCAGAAGCTACATTCACTTCTTCGGGAACTGAATTCACTTCTACTTCAGGTACTATATTCTGCCCGACTTCAGAAGCTACACTAATTTTAACTTCAGGAACTACATTCAGGTCTACCTCAAGAATTTTATTCACGTCAACTTCATCTAATACATTCGTGCTGATTTCAGGAGCTCCGATCACGTCTTTTTCAGGAACTTCATTCATATCCAATTCAGAAACTGCATTCACGCTGACTTGGAGGACTTCATTTACGTCTGTTTCAGGAACCACATTATCGTCTACATCATCTACTATATTCATAACGTCTTCAGTGGCTACATTCACGTCAACTTCAGGAACTACATGCACGTCGACTTTAGAAGTTTTCTCCACGCTGGCTTCAGGAACTTCATTTACGTCAACTTCAGGAACTACATACACGTCGACTTCAGAAGTTTTCTCCACGCTGGCTTCAGGAACTTCATTTACGTCTAACTTCAGGAACTACATACACGTCGACTTCAGAAGTTTTCTCCACGCTGGCTTCAGGAACTTCATTTACGTCTATTTCAGAAATTACGTACCCGTCGGCTTTAAGAACTGCATTTACGCCATCGTCAGTAGCTACATTCACGTCTAAAACAGGAACTACATTCACGTCTTCTTCATGAATTGAATTGACGTCTATATCGGGTTTTATATTAAGCCCGACTTTAGAAGCTACATTAATTTCAATTTCAGGTACTACATTCACGTCTACCTCAAGAATTGTATTCACGTCAACTTCATCTAATACATTCAATTCTCGTTCAGGAACTTCAATCATATTTAACTCAGGAACTCCTTTATCGCTAACTTCAGGAACTGCATTCACGTCAACCTCAAGAATTTTATTCACGTCAACTTCATCTACTACATTCAAGTCTCGTTCAGGAACTTCAATCATATTTAACTCAGGAACTCCTTTATCGCTAACTTCAGGAACTACATTCACGCCAACTTTGGGAATCATACTCTCGCTTATTTCAAGATCTTTATTCCCGTTTACTTCATCTACTATATTCATGTCATCTTCAGTGGCTACGTTCACGTCTTCTTCAGGGACTGCATTCACATCTAATTCAGGAACTACGTTCATGTCGACTTCCGGGACTACATTTATGTCTACATCATGCACTAAATTCATTTCTACTTCAGGAGATTTATTAATGCCTACTTCAGCTACTACACTAACATTGGCTTCAGGAGCTACATTCACGTGAGCTTCGGGAACTGCATTCACGTGGATTTCAGAAGCGACATTAATGTCTCTTGCTTGAAGTATGTTTACGTCTAATTCAGGAACTGCATTCACACTGATTGTACGATGCACATTCACGTCTTCTTCAGGAACCAAATTTATGTCTACTACATGTACTATATTCGCGCTGTCTTCAAAAGTAACATTTGCGCCTTTTTCATGAACTAAATTCGTGTCTTCTTCAGAAACTTCATTAACATCTAATTCAGAAACTACATTCAGGTTGACTTCAGGAGCTACATTCATGTTGACTTCAGGAGCTACATTCACGTCTTCGTCACTTACTACGTTCATTTTAACTTCATCAGTTAAATTCACATCTAATTCACGAACTACATTTAAGCCGACTTCAGAAGGTACATTCTCGTCTTCCTTATGAATTGTATTGACGTTTAATTCAGGAACTGCTAAAACGCTGGCTTCAGGAACTACATTCACGTCTAATTGAGGAACTACTTTTAAGTCGACTTCAGAAGCTACATTCACGTCTACTTCATAACTGCCTAAATGTTCCGAAGTAGTTGAAGACCTTTGAGCCTGTTCGATAACGATATCGTTGTTGTAAGCTTCTATACTTCCACTCTTTTTCATAGTAGGTAACAGTTTGCTAATATTTCCTGTTGGAAAATTACTTTCAAACGAAGTAACATTGTCGTATGCCGAAGAAGTAATAGACGCTAATGTTTCTTTGCTATGTTCAGTTAACTCATTATCCATAAAAGACATTATGTTTTCGTTAGTTGAAAGAATGTTTAACACTTCTTCACTGTGTTCATTAAAGGCGTTATCTTCACAAGACGGGATACTTTCATCAATTGCAGAATCATCAGAAATTTTGTTACTGTGCTCACTAGGGCCATTATCTTCAGTAAACATGATATGTTTGTCAGTTGCATATGTTACTAACAACTCTTTGTTGCATTCTGTGATGGTATTATCCTCGGTAAACATGATATTTTTGTCAGTTGCAGGAGTACCTATCGGCTCTTTAATTTGTACGGTGACAGCATTATCTTCAGCATACGTGATTTCTTCGTCAGTTGTAGGAACATGTAACAGTTCTTCACTATGTTCACCGGGGACATTGTCCTCAGAAGACATAGCTTTTTCATTAATGGAAGGAGTTCTCATTAGTTCTTCACTGTGTTCGGTGAAGACATTATCATCAGAAGACGTGATATTTTTGTCAATAGCAGGAGTACCTAACAGTTCTTTGTTGTGTTTGAGGAAGGCATTATCCTCAGAAGAAGCGATATATTTGTCAGTTGCAGAAGTACCTAACATTTCTTCACTATGCTCAGTGAGGACAATGTCCTGAAAAGACGTGATATTTCTGTCCATTCTAGGAGTATCTAATAGTTCTTTGCTGTGTATAATGAAGAAATTATCTTCAGAAGACGTAGCTTTTTCATTAATTACAGGAGTGCCTAATAGTTCTTTGCTGTTTCCAGTGAGGACATTATCCTCAGAAGACATGATATTTTCATCAGTTGCAAGAGTACCTAACAGTTCGTCACTGTGTTCGACGAGGACATTATCCTCAGAAGTCGTGATATTTTTTTCTGTCGTGAACATACTAAAGAACAATTAGATACTCTCGCAACTGACAAAAATATCACTATTTCTGAGGATAATGCTATTATAACCGAACACAATAAAGAGCTACTGAATACTCCAGCAACTGACGAAAATAACACACCTGAAGATATATTATTCAACAAACAAAGTAAAGAACTATTAGATAGTCCTCCAGTTGACGAGAATATCACGCCTCCTGAGAGTAATGTCATCACAAAACACAGTAAGGAACTATTAGATACTTCTGGTGAAGACATTATCTTCACAAGATGTAATCACTTTATCAACTATAGAAGTATTTATTAACCCTTTACTATTTTCAATGAGTGTAGTATTCTCACAAGATGCAGTATTTTCATCGACTGTATAAGAGTGTAACGATTCTTCATTATGTTTAGTAACAGTCTTATTATCGTAAATCTTGATATTTTCATCAGTTGTAGAAAGATTTAATAAATCTTCAGTGTGTTCAGCGAGGACGTCATCCCCAGAAGAAGTGATGTTTTCATCAGTTGTAGAAAGATTTAATAATTCTTCAGTGTGTTGAGCGATGACGTCATCTCCAGTAGAAGTGGTGTTTTCATCAGTTGTAGAAACATTTAATAATTCTTCAGTGTGTTCAGCGAGGACGTCATCCCCAGAGGAAGTGGATGTTTCCATCAGTTGTAGAAAGATTTAATAAGTCTTCAGTGTGTTCAGCGAGGACGTCATCCCCAAAAGAAGTGATGTTTTCATCAGGTGTAGAAAGATTTAATAATTCTTCAGTGTGTTCAGCGATGACGTCATCCCCAGAAGAAGTGATGTTTTCATCAGTTGTAGAAAGATTTAATAATTCTTCAGTGTGTTCAGCGAGGACGTCATCCCCAGAAGAAGTGATGTTTTTGTCAGTTTCAGAATTGTCATGTTCAGAGATATCCGGTTGGTGATCAAACGTTTCTTTAATTTTTCCCTTTTCGTTCGCTGTGTCAGTTAACATGGAATCATCTGAAATGAGATTGCTGTTTTCAGAATTAAAATTTTCGCCCTGCTCATTAACAGCTTGAGGTTTTACGACGTTTTTATCATTTTGGCAAATGCTGTGTGATTGGAAGGGTTCAATGTCTGTTCGAGTAGCTTTTTTGATCTCGCTGAAAGGCACTTTATTGTCAGCATCTTTAGTCAACATAGTGCTATATACTTCTTGTTTGACGGAAGAAAAAGTTTTGTCAGTGAACTGGGGACAGAAAATAACCGTTTCTACAGAACTACTTAGGAATTTATCATCCTCGTCATCAGACGAGCCAAAATCAAAATCGTTGTTAGAAGAAATAGTCTCGAAATCTGCTAATACATTAACTTTACCTAAATTATACTTTCCTGATATACTGTCGTCCTTTTCATAATGGTAATTGTTATGTTTTTCAGTTGTTTCTTCTGTCGATTCAAACGGAGATATAAAAACAATCTCAGCAAACTGTTCTGAAGGTTCCATATAAGAAGTAACTGTCGTTCTTTCGTGATCCTCAGACTCCTCCTTAAGGAGGGCACTTTGTTCTTCTTTTTCAGATACTTTCCAGCTTTGGTTTTCTTCAACAGCAGTTACTCCTGGAATATCAAATTTTGTGTATTTCTCTGTAAGTGAATTTTCACCTGGAAGTTTTAATTCTCCTGTAATCCACTCGGTACCTGGTACTTTTTCTAAGGAATCTTGTTTTATCTGCCTGCTTTTACAAATATTCATCGTTCGTGAAATAAGTGCTCGAGTTGTTCCTTCATTTCCTACTTCTTCAGAAATGCAAAATTTGTTTATGTTTTTACCATTTATTACTGAGTATTCAGGTACTGAAACTTCTTTGACAAGTGTCTGATTGGAAATATTTTTATCATCAGTGTCAGAATTCAAAGTGCTTAAAGGGTCATCTAATGGCATATCAATATTTCCATCTAGACCGTCTTCATAAACTTCTTTCTCCATAGATTCTTCTTCTGTTGTATACACTGACGTACTTTTACTTCCATTCAAAACAGTAACTTCATTCAAATTCACATCAGCAATTTCCTCGACATTCTGGTTTGATATAAGTGAAGAAGAAGATTGTATCTTATCCCACGTAGAATTGCCAGCAGACATTACAGACTGTGGGTATGTATAATATCCTGTGATCCTAATTGGTGATGTTTCTAGACGCTCAATTGTACTGTATTCTGACTGTGGCCTATCTTGTATTTGTACCCACGACAGAAAACTAGGTTGAACAGAATTGGTTACATATCCTTCATCTCCCATAATAAGGGGACAGTTATCCTCAAGAATGTTTTCATGAGTACTACAATTTTCCACTGCTTGATTGAGAGGCATTTCAACTTTTCCTGCTTCGACAAACTCAAAATTACAAATGGATAAATGACGGTGAAAAGAAACGGATTCGTCTTGAGATTCTTGTGTTACGTCTCTTTCGTACATTGATGCTTTATCGTTTTCCATGGAACCTTCAGTCCTAGATTCTTTAACCAGACATTCGATTATACGATCTACATCAGATTCATAAAGAGTTTCACTCGCTTTATCAGAAGCCTTTTGTAACCTCTCATTCTGAAGGATATACATTGTTCGACTATCATCAATAGAATCTTGCTTTGTTTCCAAATTTTCTGTTCCTACCAATGTAGAATTAAGTATTTTACCTTCTGGATCTTCAGCTTTTATATCTAGAGAAATAATATTCCTTGGTCCAAATATTTTCTCAGTCTTTGTTGGCAAGGGGGAATATCCTTCTGATTCAAGAGTCTGTTGCAATCCTCTATGATTATTGGACAAGATATCTGACTTGAATAAATTATTTTTTTCAGAAACTGTACGAGGCTCATTTTTCGAATTGATGTGAACTTGCGAACATGATATAGAGATATTTTCGTTGTCTCTCTTTGGTTGGTTTTCTGATGGTGTATTAGTTGAGTTTGGTACAGTCTTAGCTTGGTCTTCTGATGTTCGAGATTCATCTGGAATGGTTAAAACTTCTGATGGGCAGTTTTCATATGTCAGCGATGAATTTTCTTTTTCTTCATACGTACTCACTTGCTTTTCGTCTTTAGATCTGTCTTGTTCTATGCCACCAGTCTTTTCGTCTTTCGATCTGTCTTGTTCTATGCCGCTAGTCTTTTCGTCTTTAGAATAATCTTTTTTATTCCACCAGATTTTTCGTCTTTAGATCTATCTTGTTCTATGCCACTAGTCTTTTCATCTTTAGACCTATCTTCTTCTATGCCACCAGTCTTTTCGTCTTTAGCTCTGTCTTGTTCTATGCCACCAGTCTTTTCGTCTTTAGCTCTGTCTTGTTCTATGCCACCAGTCTTTTCGTCTTTTGATCTGTCTTCTTCTATGCCGCCAGTCTTTTCGTCTTTAGATTTATCTTTTTTTATTCCACCAGTCTTTTCATCTTTAGATCTATCTTGTTCTATGCCACCAGTCTTTTCATCTTTAGACCTATCTTCTTCTATACTACCAGTCTTTTCGTCTTTAGATTTGTCTTTTTTTATGCCATCAGATTTTTCGTCTTTAGCTCTGTATTGTTCTACGCCACCAGTCTTTTCATTTTTAGACCTATCTTCTTCTATACTACCAGTCTTTTCGTCTTTAGATTTGTCTTTTTTTATGCCATCAGATTTTTCGTCTTTAGATTTATCTTTTTTTATTCCACCAGATTTTTCGTCTTTAGATCTATCTTGTTGTATGCCACTAGTCTTTTCATCTTTAGACCTATCTTCTTCTATGCCACCAGTCTTTTCGTCTTTAGCTCTGTCTTTTTTTTGCCATCAGATTTTTCGTCTTTAGATCTATCTTGTTCTATGCCACCAGTCTTTTCATCTTCAGATCTATCCTGTTCTATGCCACCAGTCTTTTCGTCTTTAGCTTGTCTTTTTTTATGCCATCAGATTTTTCGTCTTTAGATCTATCTTGTTCTATGCCACCAGTCTTTTCGTCTTTAGATTTATATTTTTTTATTCCACCAGATTTTTCGTCTTTAGATCTATCTTGTTCTATGCTAACAGTATCTTTGGAACTAGATAATGAATCGTCAAACTGAGAACCCTTTTTGCCTTTCTTCTTTTTTTTCTGCCTATTTGACGATTTTACACTTTCCTGAGAACTGGATATATCCCATGCTGTTGATTGACACCCTGCTAATTTTTGTACTTCTATTTCATCATGTTTTACTTTATCTTTTACATTTAAAACTAATGTGTCATTTTGTGACATATTCGCTTCTGACTTCTTTTTATTTTTCTTCTTCGTTTTTGATGTAGCATCTTTTTGGGTATAGTTTTCTGGAATCGAGTGAGTAGCTACAAGTTGTACATCTATTTTATCCCTTTCAGCGGATAAATCGTTTTTGTCTCGTTGAAGCTGGTCTTTTCTAATTGCATTTTTAGCCTCCCTCGTTTCTTCTTTTTTATCTATAACTTCTTTTGATGAATCAGAAGATGCAGATTTTTTAAAAGAATTGTCCATATTCTTTTCCCTTTGTTTTTGTTTATTTTCGCACTTACTTGTTTTTATTCCAATTTTGGAGTTTTGGTCTTCATTATTATGAATATCATCAAGAGACTTAATTGGTTTTAAGTTCATGTTATATTCATTTTTTACGAGACAATCGGTATGCTCTCCCAATTCAACTGAATTTTCAATTAATTGCTCTTTAAGTTTTTTCTTTCTTTTCTTTTTGGTTTTACAATTTAAAGACTGGATATCTTCTTTAGATGTTTCCTGTAATCCATTATTGTCGAATTTTTGAGAATGGTATAAACCCTTACATTTGTCCTCCGTTGATGCAGAAGATAAATTATTTTCAAAAACAACTTTAAGGGAGTCTAATTTACATGTTTGTGTACAATTACTTTCATATCCATCAATAACATTTTTAGACTCGGATGTAGATTCTGAATGTTTGGTTCCTATAATATCCTTATCGTATTTATCACAGGGATCGATATTCAATACACATTTTCTC